AGTTCCTATACGTGACGTCCCATACTATATGCACAACTCATACAAAGCCATTTTACTGCAGCGTTTTTGAGATATGGGACCATATGGCACTTTAGAGGGCTATAAAGACCCCATTTCTAATAAGCAGAAAAAAACAATGGTCAATTCTTACATATGTCTGTTTTTCTGAACTGCGGCTGGCTTGACCGCAGTGTCCTGTGCACTCAGACTGAGCGCTCTCTTCTCTCTTCTGTCATTACAAGACACGCCCCCTTACTGCTGATTGGCTGCAAGTGTGTTTGGGGACTTTTATCTCTCTGATGTCTCTCAAGAGTATTTGACAGCAATGTCTCTAGTAATAGTGAAACTTTTTTTTGTAAAGATATGTTTATTGGGAATATACATAAAATTATGCAAAAGCACTAAGAATATCAGAACATTCCTTTTTTAACAGCTAGCAAAAAAAGGTACAGACCTTCCGCCCACCCAATTGTCTCCCAATTGTCATTTCAATGTTAAATAAAGGTAGAAATACAATAAAGGGGCCCAGATAGAGTCGAAGTCCTAACAGAATATAGTATTTTCTCAGGGGTACTATAAGATACAAGCTCATTAACCCAGTGTTTTCGCTCTGGGGGGGTTCTCAGATTCCCATCTTTTTTAAGTATAAATTTTTTAGCTGCAGTGCTTGCAAGCAAAATACAATAGCCTTCATGATAGGTCATGCGAAGTGAACTGATATCACCTAGCATCCAAATTTTAGGATCAGGATCAGGATCAATATGATTATTTGATATTTTAGAAATTGTTGCAATAACATACTTCCAGAATGTCTCTAATGCTGGACAACTCCAGAGCATCTGAAGAAGAGTCCCAGTAGATAGTTTACATCTTTGACTCATGGCAGAGATCCCACCATTACGTTGGTTTAGTCTGTAGGGGGTGTAATATGTTCTATGTAAGATGTTAAAGGGGTCATATGATGCGATTTAAATTGTTCCTTTCTCTTTGGAGTGTTACAAGCTCTTGGTGCATAAAGAAGATCTGTAAAGTTGCAAAGACTAAAGTCTCAAATCCAAAGAGATATTCTTTATAAAAGTTCAGAGTTAACCACTTAACCAGTTAACGGCTCGTTCTAACACGCCCCACATGTCTACCTCACTATGTGG